ATTATTCAAATCCAGGAGGCACTTTGGAGAATTTAACAACCTAAAACCCTTGATCAGCCGCAATGAAGAACTTTACATTTCTAAAGAGGCCAAAAAAGAAAATGCTCTTGCATCAGAGCGCAAATCATACCGACCAGAGAAAATCAATATGCGTGTCACGACCTCTCAGTATGAAAAACATTTAATAAGCGACCAAAATGCACCTTTGCTCAGTCAAAACGTTTTCCTCCAAAGCATAATCTACCCGACAAAGAAAACAATTCATTGGAGCAAGTAGCATTTTGGCATGAGGTAAAAGTCGTGTGTTGTCTGCCGATCCCCCTTTTTTTACACAGGCGAGATAACAATGGCTGTCGGCCGTTGCACGGAACTTGAAGAACTCTTTGCATGAACAAACATCTGACGAATAAGGCTGTTGGTAGGACACATGCAAACATTCTTTCCCCTGAGCAGCAACTCTAAAGCTTCCCTCTGCTCCGATTTTTAACGAAAATCCCAATTCTTGCACAAGCAAATCCAGGCAATCAACATTCGTCATTTTACAGCGAAAGCTTTAGGAATCTATTCATCACGGTACCGAATATCGCGAATGACTTGTTGAAAACATTACTTGACTGCTTGTTGACAGCTTGCATCGAAATTTAACCAACGGGAATTGCCCGTGGCTGGAAGAAGCGGGTAATTAGAACGAATATAACGTATGCAAAACGGACAGTCCGTATTTTTATCGTCTCTCCCCAGTCTCGCTCTCTGTTTTCAGCCTCGTTCCAGACCTTTTGTTTGACTGCTCGCGTGTACTTGAATACGCAAAAACACGGACTGTTTTGCAGTCTACTGCCTATTACTTGCAGAATCATTTCTTTGAAATCTTAAGTTCTATTTAACCCATTGTATCTTGTTTCCTTGTGTGTTCTTTAACCCTATTCAGAACGGGGGGCGGCTTTTGAGCTCCCCCACCCCTCGCTAAAAAGTTGAATAACTTCAAAGCTGTGCAAGATAGGACCACCAAACTTAGCGACTCTGCCTAAATTTATCTGGAAACATTTTAAAGTCGTCGTGACGTGTACGTCAACATTGATGTTACCATGGCAACCGAGTTTTGACAGCCATATTTTTCAAAGTTTGCATTTTTTTCTATTTTTACCTATTGAATTACATTACACTTAATTAAGGATTATTTTATCAAAGTTATTGTAACTTTTGATGAAATCCAGGCTTTTTAGTGACTAGTTTGAGAAAAATACATGAGTTTAATATGACCAAATGGCAGATGCTAAGTTAAGTTTTCCAAAGTAGTGTACATTTTTCTCGGAATTTCATATTTTGCTGATTTTTTTTTTTTTGCTTCCTAAGCATCCTTTTATACTCAGATTAAGTTTTCTGTTAAAAATACTTCGATTTATACGAGTTTTAAGTAAAGTGGAATACATTTTTACCTGGAGTTATGAAAACCGGGTTAGCAAATTTTTCTCATCTTCGCCTATCTAATAGCTTGTTTACTGTGTTGTTTGCTTATATCGTTCTTTTTTTTTTTGGCTTGTTTTGTGGTTAGGGATTTGTGTAGAAGTGGATGTAGACAGAATTACTATCTTATCCCCCCCCTCCCTATTTTTTCCCTACCCACAATTCTTTCTTTAACACAAGTTATCAGTTTGAAATCAGCGGGCGCCTAAAGCTGGTTTCGGTGCCGTTTAGCAGTTTAGTTTTACATATTAGTCACCTTGAGAAAAGTTTCCCGGAGGGCATCATGTAAAGCTCTGAGATGGGACAAAGTTATTACGATGCGGAGAGTCTGCATCGTCCAATATCGTATTATATTCTCGTTTCATTTGGCTAAACGGATCAATCACCCTGATCCGGGCTGAAACAGAAAGGTACGATATTGTTCGCTTTTTCTAAGGTGACCACTAAGTCTTTGGCTTCGGGAACAGGCTCTTAGGAGTCAAATGAATTAGGTGAGAGCAAAATTGCAGGTGAACTTTGACCCGGGCCAAGTCTTTCTCTCTGGTGTGAAAACAAGGCTAAGGTGATCCGCCGACCGTGTGACTCTACATCCGGGAACTTGAATAAGACGAGTGTAAGAGAAAAGTCCAGAGGTGTTTATCTGGCAATAGGCCGAGTTTTTCCGAGCTATTCGATGATATTTCGCTTATGTTTAACGTGAGTAGATTATGCGTGGTTGTGGATATTCTTATCAGTGCTGCGAAATTGTGTGATTGTGTGATTTCCGCATGGTCTTGACAGGTATGTGATCGCGTGGTTGAACTGCGGTTTCGCCAAAATATTCTGTGGCAGCCATTAATATTGTTTCGTCGATTGTACCTTGGAAAAGCAACTCTCGACTCAGGAAAATTGGCTCTAGGTCTAGTTTCAGCGGGCTCTAATGGCATTGCACCACAGGCCGGTTTTTGCAGATAAGAAGGTGATAATTTGTGCACTATGTTTCATTCAATTTGTTGTCTATTCCATGTGGAATCCTGTTGTTTGTCGGACCGCGAAAAAATTAGTGATTTGCTGACTATTTAAGTTGTTATGTAAGCCTTAACCAGGCGCTCTGTTGCTGCAGCTCACTCCACTGAAAAATTTCTAGACTGAAATGACACCGCTTTGAAACTTCGCGAAGTCAGTTTACTGAATAAATGTTCTAAAATTTGCGTCATTTTAAATTTGGACTCGTGGGAATGCTTCTAGGGACCATTAACTTACTGCCCGGCGTTAGATAAAGGCTTTTAATCGGCCTTTGAATGAGTTTTGTTGTTTTAAGAGCGAGTGCACAGAAAAATAGAGCAAGCCGTGGCCACAGCTCAAAACCTAACTTACCCTCATTTTAAGTCTGTAATAAGGTTTTAATGAATTTATAACACTGCTGAGGTTTAAATTTCAAAATGCGGCCGAATTTGGGAATTATTTGAGATTTTCGATTACAACGGTTTGCGGGCCTAAAATTAGCCGCCGAACACGGCAATATAGCTTAGCGACAGAAATGAGCTGATGTTCATAAACGAGCGAATATATTGGCAATCTTCCACTTAAATCTCAAAAAACAGATATCTAACAATTTCTAAACGGCACATTTTTTTAGATTTAGAGAACAAAATATCGACGAACAAGCACAATTTTGAAACGTAATTTGCATAATGCTTATAAATACAACAATTTACCGCTAAAACCAAATCAAATTTCCTTTTCGGGGGAATTCTCCAAATCACCTCAAATCCCGGTTACTACCCAATGAGATATAGTACTTCAACATTAACTGAAAGTTAGTCTGGTGTTCTTGCGAACGCTTGTAAAATAGATTGATTATTTTGAGGTTATTTTGCGCCAAACAACCGCTAATTGACCCCAGGATCACTTGACGCGTGCACGTCACCTTAGTTTTATGCGTCGATTTGAGCTCGTTAAAAGGGAGAAACTAACAAGATTCTTTTAATATGTACCTGTTTTAGTGAAATGCGCGCAATCTTCAAAAGGAGAGGCCGTTCAATGGGTAATTTCTGTTCTTGAGATCTTGACGATTGTAGCATAGCGTCTGCGAGTGGACCTGAGTCTAGGGCTGTTTTCCCGTGACTGCGAAATCAGAATAACATCATGAAATAATTCTCGCTCGAATCTTCGTAAATGAATCAGCTTTGCAGTGCCTTACCTGAGATAAAAAGTGGGCCGAATAAGAAAACATTTCTAGCGCAAGTTGGATCCTTTGCAGCGCGTAGTGTATTTGCTAAGCGTTGATGGTATCAATGACTTTTTTACTCACCTCCGATTGCGTGACGAGGCAATTATCGATTGTCTCCTGCGAAAAATAAGTGCACGGGAAACCAAAGCTTTCGGGATACAGTAAATTCATTTTCCTGTATGACCAGCTGTCCTTTTGTCCTATTTTAAAAGTGGTTAACTAAGATGGTTAGCAAACATACTGTCCAACTTTTAAAAATGGTACAGTAACTGAATGTTTTGTTCTTCTGATCTTACCCCCAACGCCGAGTGTTCAGAAGATATATTTCCACTACGCATGAAAATCAAATGGGTTAAATTTTAAGGTTCAAGGCGGTTTTAAGGCATGGGCTACCGGTGGATTAGTCAGACTTGTCATAAGGTGCATTGAACAGAAAATTGCAGGCATGATATCTCTGCTATTGTATGTCCATTAAGTGATTTTCCAGCAAACATTATTTTTTGACTTTTTTACCCCAAAAGTTTTTTCCGTTCAATTCTTATCTATGAGGTCTAAACTTAGTTAAATTTCTGTAATTTGTTGTTAAAAATAAATGCAATTCTGCAAACAACTAAGTATTTAATTTTGCGTAAAAGCTACATGAAATTGTACTGTTTAGCCGTAAATCATTAAAATGAGAAAGCATGATGCTTTCTCTTTTCAAGTCTAGTAGGACTTAAGCAATGGTATTTGTTCTCCATGTCTGCTAAGGACGAAACAGTTTGCTCTTTTCCAGAAATTGTTCTTGCCCATTACGGTTTCAAACCAAGGATAGCAGCAAGTCTGTCGTGGTCATATACCGCTACTTCAGTGCAAAACTTAACCTCAAGGGCGTCCATGTTCGCTCCGGCTCGAAAAGGTAGAATCCAAGATAGTAAAGCAGTTATGCAGTAAAAAGTAATGCGAAAAACCTGCGGGGGCTGGGGAAAGAAAGGCGTCTTATTTTTCTTGGGCTTGTTCTATTTTCGCGACCTGGTACAGGCTACAAAATACTGACAAGCTTAGTATATGTCTTCACCACTGAGAGTCACCTGTTCCTAGCCGGACACGCCCCTCACGTATCATGTTTCGTTCCTAAAGTTATTTCAAAGCACAGAACCAAACCTAATCAGCGGCCGAAGGCAGAAAGGAGGATGAGCAAACGGATGTCACAGCATATTTTGCAAGAAACTGGTATCCTTGTGTCTATCGGCTCAGGAAAGATTGATTACCACTAGAATTAATGTCAGGGTGAGTGCTACAATGGGAGGGAAGGAAGAAAAGGAAACCGCCGCGCACACCTGTTAAGTGTTTTATAAACTTTCTCGTCCTGACGGTTTCAAAGAAGGGCGTTGTGGCTGCTATTTAATTTACCGTGTCTGTTGCAGGTGTCGAGTTAATCTTACAGCAACTGGAAACGTGGCCACGCCTACTGAAACTGAGATTGCTTGTAGGATGAACGGCTATAGTTTGGTATATTCACGAGCGCGTTTTCTCCAGTGAACTGAGTGCGTAGTTTTTCTTAACGAAGGGAGAGGTGGTTCAAGTGAATAGTTCGGGGAAAGTTTGCTTTCTTTAGCAGGGGGGGGTATATTTGTTGATATCAGGAGTTCTGGCGTGGATAGAGTCGTTGTAAAGCTATTTTTGCTTCGGAGTATCGGTTTACCGGAAGCTGAAGCATTTAAGGAATAATAATAGAGATTCTCATGGTTAGTCCAGCTGTTATCGACCAAAATTGTTCACTTTTATGATAAAAGCATGAAACTTTGCCAGATTACAACTAACCCTAAGACTAACATTTTTGGATATGGAGCCAAGCCAAATTCAACACTGGACACGAGTACTGCGCAGGCCCTAAAATGGCCTACATGAGAACGAGGCTGTTAGTGGAAATCCTTCTAAAATACCATTTTTGGGTGTTTCTGTAAATAAAAGTCGTAGATATTGTGGAAGAAGACATTTGCTTTACTGTCATGCTTTCTTTGGTGTCACGTGACCCCTCCTTCCAAATATGGGGGGCTATTGTTGGGTGTCCTGTGCTGAAGCTGTCTTCTGTGCATTTGTGTGTTTAAGGGGGTGAGAAGGGGCACCTTTTCAGGCAAGTTCAAATGATAACACTCTTGCAACTATTGTCCAGTTATCAACGGCTGTTTTTTACCATACAAATGCAAATCATTACATGAAAACGAGGCAAAAATCTTTTCAGCAGTTTGAAAAGCCTCCAGTTAGCCCTGCGTGCAGTCATCTTGAGTTGAATTCATGGACCATTGCCTAAAAGCCCGAATTGATCAAAAATTGTGATCGCACGGCATTTTTGCAGAGTTTTTTTCTCCACAGACGACAATTGAAAGTCACATGACATAGACTTTTTCCTTAAATATGCCATATTGAAGGAATTGAAGAGCCCCCCTTTCTGATAGTTGTATCCTCAAGATAGTTGTAGATGTCACTGTATCTTAAGAGTAGGTTGTACACCAGTTTTGCCAATGGTGAATCGACACCGTCCCAAAGAAGCAGTTTTTCTTTCATTTAAGAGTTCATAGCCACAGACTGCCACGATATACCCCTTAGTCAAAGTTAAAACCTTTAGACTTGTATGCCTCAGAAGTGTTGTTCCCTACACATATCCCATTCATACACTGCTCGACAGGTATGTTGCATGAGCACTACTCGAGTTGAGGAAACACTATGAAGGTCACTTTATCTTCTTTTCACTTCTTGCCTCGTTTTATTGAAGATAATGAGGGCTGGATAAACAAACGCAAGTGCAAGCCGAAAAAACCAATTGAGCCAACTCTTTCCCCAAACGCTTTTGTTTGCACTTAACGCTTGTCAACCAGGAAAAAACCGACGTTCTAGCTGTCTATTTGGGGCTATCGTCGGAAACGTCACGTGCAAACTGCACTCAAAAGGAGACGCAAGAGGGAGGGGTGTTGATCGAGAGAGCTTGCTCGCAGGCTAACGCAAACGCAAGGTAAAAAATGTCTGTCCGACATGATGGGATCTAGGATAATCAAATGGGATTGTGTATCTCACTGTGCTTGAATTTGCATTATGATTACGTGAAAATCGGTTGTCCTTAATTTCTCTTTCAAGAAACATATCCCACAAATTTTTCGATTAGATTCATTCAGTTGGCAAATGATGTCAGGGATCTCAACACCAATGCAAGCTTAGATCATGACTCAATGCCCACGTGACACTGACATCATTTTCTTTGGCGTCCATACTATACATGGATAACTAAAATAACTAGCATCGCCTCATTGGTGGAATGGGTTCTGATTTAACTGTTGATGATCGCTCAAACTAACATGAAATGTCTGGACCACGAAATAATTTTCAGCCTGTTTCAGTTTATGCAAACAAGATGCAAGAGCGTTAACTTATGTTTGGTGGGATGTGTGCAGCACAGTTTTAAAGTATGCGGAATAAATTTCCCTAGTAAAATCTCATTTCACCATTTGAATTCCCATCTTCTCATTCACGGAAAGATTTCACTGCTTCGATTATTATTCTTCACCGATTTTAGAAGGGTGTTTCTGTTTTGTTTTGCACATAAATGGATACACAGATTCGTTACTTGGTGCACCTACCGTCATTTTGAATAAGGTGACTTGCGGTTATATAAGCAATGAATGAGCCACACCCTTTTTTTCAACTCAGTTCTGTTACTGAGCTGCTGTTCATCTGGTACCGGTAAACTGCCTGCTGAGCATTTTGAACAATATGAAGCTCGCGGAGTATGAGCTGAAACTAATCTTTGTCATTACACATGGCGCCAAATACCCCAAGCAGCCTGTCTACAGAATAAGTGGCTCGTGGAAGAGATTAACATGCTGTATATACGGCTGCTATGAGAACGATGATCTTAGGGTTGAATGGGATAATAAAGCCGCCCAAGTCTCAAAACCTCATACGAATCTCTTCCTACCCACTGCAAATCCTTAGCATTTTAATTTTTTCAGCAGTTTCCATTTTCATTGGTTTCTGATTAACTGGTCTGTTGAGGATACACTCCTAACTCCCCTTTGATGTCTGTAGTAGAAAACTCACTTGTGGGTGTAAAGTTAGCGATAGAAACCAGCTCTAATAGTTGGATGTTTGGCTATTTTCCTTTGATTTGGTCAACTTCTCTGTGGCTGGATCGATGCACAAAACGTTGACATTATCAACTTTTGTGGTAGAAAAAGATAACATTTTTCTCGGCTTAGATGAGTACACGACCATGGATTAATTTATGTACCATTTTAAAATATTGTAGTTCTTCCAATATATTTGGTTATGAGCCTTTCATGTGAGGTACACTTTCCTAAATTGAAAAACATTAACCGAGAAGTCGATAATAGAATTTTAAACTTTCCCTAATTATAAGGTAACGAGCGTTCTTTGGACCCAAAGTGTACCGCCTTAGTGTTGCATCACGTCTAGTACAATGACTTGAAATGCTCAAATCATAGTAATTTTGTGCCAATTATTCGAAAATTCTCTTTCAATCGAGTGGTATTGTAGTTGCCTACAGCTTGTGTGTCTAAATTGTAATTTATTTGAGAAGTTTTTCAAGCACCACATCTTTTGCTGCTGCTGCTCCTCAACCACGGAATTCATTGCCCTACGCGATTAGGAGTAGCCCCTCAGTAGCATCTTTTAAAAAGACACTAAAGACATTTTTATTTCAGAAAGCTGTGATTTTATGTGCTTTTTAATCTCGTTTTTAGTAGGTTTTATGCAGTTTTTTACGATTTAAGTAGTCTAGGTAATTTTTATAGTTTTAGTGTTAAGGTTAACAAAATTGTTTTAACACTTTTTGGTAGGTTCATGCACTTTATGCATGTATACTTTATGCAGTCGTGGTAATTTGTTTTGAAATATTTTTATTTTTAAGCGCTGATGAAAATAGCAATATTGATATCGGCGCTATATAAGTATTTATTGTTATTATTATTATTATTATTAAAGATTACCGTTAGAAATATGAGTAAAGTTAAGCTAATTCCTCCACCTATTTCAAGTAGCTCAGTTGTTGTTCAATTATAAGGGATAAACATGTGCTTTTTAATCTCGTTTTTAGCCGGTTTTGTGCAGTTTTTTACGATTTAAGCAGTCTAGGTAATTTTTATAGTTTTAGTGTTGACAAAATTGTTTTAACTCTTTTGGTAGGTTCATGCACTTTATGCATGTATACTTTATGCAGTCGTGGTAATTCTTTTTTTGAAATATTTTTATTTTTTAAGCGCTGATGAAAATAGCAATATTGATATCGGCGCTGTATAAGTATTTATTGTTATTATTATTATTATTATTATTATTATTATTATTACTATTATTATTATTATTAAAGATTACCGTTAGAAATATGAGTAAAGTTAAGCTAATTCCTTCATCTATTTCAAGTAGCTCAGTTGTTGTTCAATTATAAGGGATAAGCATGCACTTTAAATATACTCTGCCTTGACGGCATACATAGCAACAACTTTGCTTTTTTTGTGAAAGCGCTCCGACGTTCTGTTAGGGAGCTGAGTTTGAAAGGCTTGATTTCTGGTCCTTAACGGGGAGAAACATGGCTATTTTTATTACATTCAGATTGATCATCTTTTTTATGTTTTCATGTGTTAATATAAAATTCAAAGGAATATCAATTTGGTAGCTTTAAATTGCGTATCTCAAAAATGGCCTCCACAAGACTATCCTGTCATCTATTTTTTTAGACATAACAAACAGAGATATGAGGAGGCACGATCGCTTGCTACTGCATGACCTGTTCATTTTTACCTCAAAGACTGGCATTTCTTCAAAATTAAGCGGGAAGAGCTATTTGGGCCGAGCCACCTCCTGGATTCAGCACTGAACCTTGTAATTGACTTTGTTAATAATTTAAAGGAGAATAAAATAGCTTAATGCAGTATCCGAACGTGGAGGCAAGAAACTGGAGGCTAGCTTTTAAGATCATCAAAAGGATTTTTGCCTTGTTTTTGAGCAGCGCTCTACATTTAGATGGAAAACAACAGCCAGAGTGCCATACAATCACAACTTTTGATCAGTGCAAGCTTTTATGCAATGTTATCTGAATCCACCCCAAATGACCACCCGCAGTGCTAACGGGACGCTTTTCAAACAGTTTAAAAGACTCTTGCCTTGTTTTCATGTGGTAATTGACATTTGTATGAAAACAAATCCAACCCTAGATAATTGGAAAAAAGTTGCAAGAGTGTTATCATTTAAAATTATGTGAATCGATGCCCATTCTCACCCCTTGAAACGCACAAATGCACAGAAGACAGCTCCCGCACAGGACACCCAGCAACGGCTTCGCCATATTTGGAAGAAAGGGTCACGTGACACCAAAGATAACATGACAGCAAAGCAAATGTCTACTTCCACGATATCTACAAGTTTTATTTACAAAACCACTTAAAAACCGGTATTTTAGAAGCATTTCCACTGTCAGCCTCGTTTTCATGTAGGCCATTTTAGGGCCTGCGCAGTATTCGTGTCCAGTGTTGAATTTGGCTTGGCACCATATCCAGAAATGTTAGTCTTAGGGTTGGTCGTAATCTGGCAAAGTTTCATGCTTTTATCATAAAAGTGAACAATTCGCTATATTTTTGGTCGATAACAGCTGGACTAGGTCTAACAGTGCGAAGATTAGACTTCTGGTAAGGTGGCAACGATCAAGGCCCGCATTATAATTCATGATAATTGAAGGTCATGATGTAGAAAAAGCGACTCAAATGGTGGATGCCATGCAATCCTCGCGGGTGGGGGCGGTGTACCTGGCCTTAACGGTTGCCCCTGCGACAGAATTCAGGCATGCCCAGATTGTCCACGGGTTGCTAAATGAGACCGTCCCTTTCTTAGTACCCGTTCCCTGTCTTACAATTAGACCCGGGCAAATTTCTCGAGATTGCACCATCATGTTGGGCTTAAAGCTTCCAAAGTCCAACAATAATAGCACATGTTCGCGACGGTTTTTTAAGCCAGTCAAGTTCTTAAACCAGGCCTTAAACGGCCAGTTTTAAGTGTCGATAACAGTTAAAAAGGCATACAAGCCTCATGCAAAAGACAGTGGGAAGGAAGTGCACATCGGTGATGGGGAAAAAGGAGTAGCCCACAGTTATTTAGGGGTGGATCTTTCGAAACATTTTTATACTCTTGGACAGATATGCATTGTTTAAAGTTTTAGACAAACCAGGTGTAAATTTATACTAACAAACTGATAAATATACATCAGCAAGATTTTTGCGAATCCTGTTTTTTGCTGGAGACTATCGTTTACTGGCTGGTCACGCAATCAAAGGTAACGTACTTTCCCAGGTTTGTTTACTCACCTTTCGCTCAGCAGTACACTGCGTTCCACAAAGGATCCAAATTGCGCTAGAAAAGTTTTCCTACTCGGCCCACGTTTTACCTCAGGTAAGGCACTGCAAAGCAGATTCACTTACGAAGATTCGAGGGAGAATTATTTCTTGATGTTATTCTGATTTCGCAGTCACGGGAAAACAGCCCTAGACTCAGGTCCACTCGCAGACGCCATGCTGCAATCTACAAGATCGCAAGAACAGAAATTACCCATTGAACGGCCTCTCCTTTTGAAGATTGCGTGCATTTCATTAAAACAAGTACATATTAAAAGAATCTTGTTAGTTTCTCCCTTTTGTCCTTTTTTATTATCCACCTCAAAGTGAGGGTAATTCAAAACTTCAACCCCTCAAACTTCCTTGTTTCCCTTTTAGCCTTAACCACCATTATTTTTACACTGACTTTTCTGTTTTACAGGAAAGTATTGCGCATGGTTTCTTTAAGGCAAATAATTAAGTTACATCAACTTTAAATTGTTTGTTAGAAATGCTTCTATTCCCTGCTGATGTTATCTTGAAATTATTTCTATCTTTGCTTGATCCAGTTCACAAAATTTTGTTTCATGTTAAGCCTGAATTCAACTTTTCACTGGTACAATATTTTTGGAGATTAAAATCACAGCTTTTTTTCTCCTGTCTAATGACCATCTGCCTTTTTGTTTCTCATGGCTTATTACTGAACCTTGGCATTACAAAAAATTGTTCTTTAAAATGTGAGCTTCAATATCCTGTTTACTTGGCAACTGCTGCTTTTTGGCTGATAATCTCTGCACTCTCATTTTCGTTCTTTGTGGGTTTATATGTTGTGACTATTATTATATTTGGGGAGACCTTTGATGCCAGTTCCAGATCCTGTACAGAAATGCCACTCCTTTTTCCAATTTTATATCTCTCATTTGGTGTATGTCTAAGTTATCCCTGTGCCAAACCTGCCTGGTTTCCTTTTTAGCATGTTAATAAGATCTAAAAGGTTGATAACAACAATTCAAGTTGTTGATATAACAGGCAAGCCACACACCCTCACTTTTGCACCATATGCCACAATAAAAGATCTAAGATCTCAAATAAATACTAAGTTCAGAATAACAAGTGATTTGTACTGGTTGTCATGCTGTGGAAAGCCTTAATTTCATTTTTTACTTTTGGAAGAAATAAGAGGAACAGTTTTTATGCATGGGCGATTGATGGGAGGTGTACAATGCTGTCTGAAGGGATGTGAAAATGAGGTAGAATCAAGAAAATTTGATAGCATGGTTGGGCGGTATGAACTGAAATGTGCCCCTGATGATGTTACACCTGAAAATCTCAAAGATCTTAGGGTATGTGATAAACATTACAGCAGTTTATCAGCAAGAGGGCATAAACCTCCTAAGGGGAAAAGCTCCACTAGGTCATGCAGTAATGCCCAGCTGGGCATCCTGAAAGTTACACCATGTATAGTGACTTGTTCACAATGTGGCAACAAGGGTTGCCTGAGTAGTCATGTTCCCTGCAAGAAACACCACATAAATATTTTTAAAAGTACGTTTTCAGTGGGATGCAATTTTTTGGATGAAAGAACTGGCAATAAGACTGATTTACGTAATGACTTGTATAGTGTAGATCCTTGTGATGGAACTTTTCCAGACTACATAATATGTAGTCTGTATGTATATTATGCATGTCATGTCAGCCTTTCTATTTAAAATCCATTAAAATAGAGCACGAGTACAAAGAAGCTCAAAACATCTTCCACCAAAAACAAGGTTGTTCAATTTCCACGATAACAACAGATAATGATAGCAACAAGCATGAGTTTTTTCAAGAAACAACTATTAATGCAACTAAAGAACAAGCCAATGTGTTATCAGAAAAAATGGTCTTGGATTGAGAATTTGCTGTGTCTGATGCTTTAAACTTTAAAGCAGGTATTTTTACAGATGTGTTGAATGAAATAATGATACAAACAGTTACTGCTCCAAGAGAACCAGTAGATGCAGGAAATGACAATGAAGTACAGTCATCACCTCTGCCAGTTTATACAGTTTTTCAAACAGTTATTTCATGTATTTTTCCATGGACAGTGTAGTTTACTCAGCACACTACAGATAATACCATGAAGGTTACTTTTTCTCTCCCAAATATCGGAAAAGGTGTTGTAATAACCAAGTGGAAGGAAATAAAAACATTTCCTTCAAAGGATTTTAGTCCATTTACAGTAGAATTCTAGGGTAACAAAATTGACTATGGGGACTCCCACACAATATTTTTCAAGAAAACATATCAAAATCTGCTTTGGGTGTCATGCTTAAAACTATTAAAAACTTACCGGTTTGTCCAGGTATATTATGATCCAGCCCTTGTCGATATGGCTGGAAAAAAAAGGGAAGCAAATTTATACTTTGTGAATGCAAAAGGAGCAAGTGTAGATGGAGAGATTGTCAAGTGCATCAGGAGCTTAAATTGCACCTACAAACTACCTGGCCATTCAAAAACTAGATGCAACAAATGTCAAGATATTCTACAATCTTGCTTTCATTGGAAAACAAAACCTTCATAACCTTCAGCAATAATCACGATCATCTTGAACAAGTAAGACGTTTCATTTTGAAAAATGGTTTTCAAGAACCAATAATTATATCATGTGATCTTACAACTGGAAAAGCCTTATACCACTGAAGGAAACCATCGTGTTTGGGTGGCCAGTCAGGAAGGTATACCATTCATACCATGTCATGTTGTTCCTCACTGGCTGCCCCCCAATGACTCTTACAAAAAGCTTGAAATCGATTTTTCCACTTTAAAATACAATACTTCCTGAACAATTGGGATTGACTGTTGCACAGATTGGTTTCAATAAGTGAATAAAACAATAACCTTTACAAAAGATGCATCAAATCTATTTCTGTTTGTATGCATAAACTTAAACACTATCATAATTATAGTGTTCTTAAATTAAAAATAATTAGTATTAATTTGTCGATTTTAATATTTTGTACTTTGACAACAGAGATTCCTTGCACACCTGATCAAAAAATAATTTAATAGAATATTGCAGTTAATATTGTACAATGGAATTGCACATAGATTCTACACTAGCAGTTTTATCCCTCTAGCATTAATATATGGAGAGACTGTTGAAGTCTAACCGTTTGCAGCCGTTTGTAGAGCCTGAACGTTAATTTTATAACCTGCATGTTTTTCAGGAGCTATCTATTTGCCACTCAAATGTTGATTCATGCACAAAACATGCATATAAGTCTCCTGTTGTTAGAAGTAAACGAGGAAATTTCAAAACTTACCACTGATCTCTAGTACCAACTTGTTGCAGCAGGTAGTGACTTGATGTAAACAGATTACATTTATGTCGTCTCCACATGTTTTAATTCCATCGACTTTAAAGGGATTGATGAGAAGAACTACGTACTTTGGCTCGCTGAAATTCGGCGTACATTAAGCTCAATGTATCATATACCAATCCTCCTATTCTGAGATCAGGATATTGCCACACTACCTGGCACGTTTCCCGAAAGCGATAAACGATCCTACAAACTGTGCCAATTTATAGACACTTCGCGGTACCTTTCTTTGCCTCATGTGATGCTTTTGAACCTTTTCCCGACTGAACCGTATCGCGAATATTTCCATGTTATTTTTCAAAAGCTCTGCCTCATTGAAGAAAGCAAAAGATGAATCCAAACATTCGGAAAATTGACATCCTTTGCAACGTAACGAACAAGAAATTTGCCCGCCATTTTGAAAATCACCGATGTATGACGTAACGTCACACTGGCAGTGATCAGTGAACCAATGTTTACCCTAGAGACGACCCCTCCCTCCTGGGCTCGTTGACCGTTGAAATCGAAGATCTCAAATAATTCCCAAACTCAGCCGCATTTTGAAATTTAAACCTCAGCAGTGTTATAAACTCATTAAAACCTTATGACAGACTGAAAATGAGGGTAAGTTAGGTTTTGAGCTGTGGCCACGATTTGCCGATTTTGCTCGATTTTTCTGTGCATTCGCTCTTAAATTCCCAAGTAGTAGAATGAGTCGATATTTTTGCTAGTCCGGTTTTCAAAAATCCAGGTATATTTGAATAATTAAAATTGGCGGATCCAAGATGGCGGATGCTTCCAGTCCCTTTTTAAGTCATAAATGACGTCATCATGACATCACTGCTATTGTTAAAGATCATTTATGTGTTAGCTAACTTCCCTGATTTTATCAGAGACCTCACTATTTAACTATTATTGGCTTTAACCATCGGACGTACAAAGGGTAGGAGGGATGGGGGTTGCCACCTCCCATAAGGTTTTTCTGATGTTTTCCTAGACGATAAAACATTAGCGCCTGAAGTTTTCTGTAGCTGTTCTTTTATCCCTCGCGCGCATTTTGAGAGAAGTTTAGTGGTGATCAGTTACTATCGTTACGGAATATGACGTCATAACTAGCAGGTGGTCAAGCCACTTTTGAGTGAAGATGCATGTTTTTCAACTTTTTTTTCAGGAATAAAAGTAAACTTGGAGATAAAATGATGTAAAGTAATTATTTCTGTGTTATTTAACATTTTAAGCGCAAAAATACTAAAATCATCACTGTTTTTACCTGATTTCTAATTCTTGATAAAATCCAAGATGGCGGCCAAGCTAGCAACCATGTTTGGTGACGTCACAGCCTTCCAGCAGCGCCACCACACATGAAATATACCTCATCTTGTAGAGAAGATCAAAGGTTCCACTGAAGGCAAAATCGTTTTGAAATATTGCAACATATCAAAAACTCAAAACCACGGTGGGGGTGTGACTTTGCGTGTACGTCCGAGGGTTAAGTCTACCTTGAGGGAATTTGGATTCTGTCAATAAATTCAACAATACGACGTCATAATGATGTCAGATTACGTCATTGTATCAATCAAATTATGCCCAGAAGTTGAAAATGATGAGTACATTATTGTGTAATTTTGTGTAATTTTGGTGGCCTCAGGATGAGCAGTTTTTAAGTTATAGAGAGAGGGGGGCTTCGAGGACTCCCGATTCGCAGGAAGTAAATAAAAAAGCCCGGTCTGAATAGGGTTAATATTCTGTTGTTATGAGTACATGTGCACGTTTATCTAAGCAGTGCCCGCGGAAAGCCGTTGTTGTTTACATTCAAGATCAAGGTTGTTTCAACAGTTTTGCAGACAATATAGGTATGGCTCATAAATTTGGTCTTCTGTGTAAACCGCCTTAAAGTTGTCCTGTGTTTAATAGGCCACTTTCGAATCATGTTTATGTTGCTTGTTGACTATGAGTAGAGATTTCGCAAACTCATTAATTATCCACGCGGTCAAAAGCCAATAAATGACGACCATTTGGATCAGGTGGATGAATCCTGATACCTAATAAAACAACAGATAAAACACAACCAGGTTTTCATCTGAGATCAAGCACTTGCATTTTAATGAGATGTTTTATTGATTAACACAACTCATGGAAACAATGCAATACCAGAGAAACTGCATAATTTCTTACTGCTTTATTTCAGAGGACATGTCAAAAACTCGGGCTTCGTGCTTCATCACGGGTTCCAAACACCGACCCGAGGCCGTAGCACTCGCCCTCGTTTTTGAACTATTACTTGATAAGTGGCCGATTGACCAGAACTGGTATTTTCTGCAGCCTTAATGATAGACAGAATGCAAAGCATAAAAAAGCCTCCTCTCTCGCTTAAAGCTACTTGAAACGCAGCTTGAGCGGCCCCAGGCAAAATAACTGGATTTTAAAATCCTTGAATATTCCAACAGGGCCACCTTTTGGGGCTAAAAAAAAAGACTTCTAAAATTTCAAACACGGCATGCATTTCGACGTCGAACTGAGATGCCATGATCTCTCATTTCTAGATTTTTGTTGAAATCAAAATAAACGATGCGCAATTGTCTCACGGGAAGTGACAAAAAGTCTTTAGAGCGAAAGCCAAAGATAGACAACAATGGGTGACCATGTCAAAGGAACACGTTTTAGCCCGTAAAACATGCTGGAATCATTGGCAGAAGTAACATTTTAAGTTCATTTTTGGATGAGGTCACAGGCTCAAAGAAAAAGAACTATAGGAATAAGCATTAGTCAGTACCAATTACCAGCGGAGCTCTCTCGCGCGAAGTGCGGGTAGCGGAGCACCATGGTAAGAAAATCTGGTTATCTATGCATCCAAGAAATTTTGGTTGTAACAAAATCGTCCGTCCGTACGTATGTCCACTCCTTCATGTAAGCTGGGGTGAAATTTTGCATTTCAAGCACCCCGAGCGTTTCAGCGGTAAATCCCATGGCCACTTGGACTTTTAGAGAGAGAGAGAGAGAGAGAGAGAGAGAGAGAGAGAGAGAGAGAGAGAGAGAGAAAACAACAACAACAACAAAATCCAGTCCTCCTTTCGACTACATTTTAATGTCTAAATTAACATGGGAAACAGAGAAATAACTAGACCGAGAAATAAAAAAACAACGGAGACCAATTTCGTTGGAAGAAAAACATGAAAATTCAATAGCGGCGATGAGAAAATGAGAAATGCTAGCGACCACCAAGGTAAAAATGAGCGACAGTAAAAACAAAAGTGAACAGGAACACATACAACATTTCCTCCATAAAACGTGTAACTAGGAAGTTTCTGGAAGTCTCACGTTGTAGTCGTGCAAAACAACTGCAAAGATATGTACAAAAAAGTGTGCTGCACGTGCAAATTTTTTTTTTATTTTTGCTAATTAGACCTATTGTTGTTTTTTACCGTTCTCGTTGTCTTCACCGTTTCTTTAGCATTAGATGAATTTATATTTTGTTTGAGTAAACTATATATAAATATTAAAGAGAGCTTTGCTTTCAGCCCTGGTTAAATCTGTATATTACGCGTAGAAAAGAACTCCATTCAATCACTTAATAGCAGCAAGAGTTTTGAATTTCTTTTTGTTTCGATTCGTCAGCTGATTGATCGCAGCAGTGCTTCTCTTTATATTATTAATATGGTCCAAGCTTTTTTGACTGTAAGCATGAGGGTTTGAAGGAAGATTCAGTAAAACTGTAGCGGCGAATAGCGACATATGATATCCGTGACGTTGAAAACCAGAACTAAACGTTTAATCATACACGAGGCTGAATGACTCACAAGTATCTTACGAAACGATCATCACACATATCCATTAGTTACGAGGAAAGAAATCCATAACACGAGAAAAACTTAAGCAAACGGCTTATAAAAACACCTGGGAAACTTGAAGAAAACTTGAGGTTATTTCACGGTGGCCTCGTACACTCCAGTGACAAGGCCCCGTGCGCATGCTCCTAATAAATCAAGGAGGAAACCCGCTGGTTAGGATACCAGCAGTTACATCGTTCCCCGAAATGTAAGTCTTGCCTTACATTTTAACAACAACTATAAATATCACGATAACAGTCCTAAACTTATTTTCCAGAAAAAGCGTTCATAAAAGTCCAGGGCTCCTCGTTGGGGAATCCCGGTCTCCAGCATTGCGCCTCCAAAAGTAAAACGATCTTGTTGATAGGCCTTTCCAATTTGGAGCCATTGCTGGTCAGCACTGTCACCAATCGGAGTAGATCTTGATCATCAGGATGCGTGGCTACGATCTTACCCAAAGGCCATCTGTTTCTTGGAGACTGGTTTTCCTTCAGTAATACGACACCCTCAACCTTTCTTTTTGGCCGTGTCCAGTTGTTCCTTGCTAGTAACTGGTATGTCGTGGCGCTCGTTTTATAAGAATATTGTGTACAAGCATGAAAACCCTTTATAAGTGTTTAGTTGAAGTGATTTTGTCTTAGACAACCGATTGTGGGGTCAAGAAAGGTGGATTCTAGGTCTGTTTTAGTCGGGCATCTCTCTATGAACCTCATAGTTAAAGAGACTAAAAGTTCATTATTTCTATGCTTTTAAATGTTGTTCATTTCGTTACAAATCTGTCGCTTTTGCCAGGAGCAACTTTTCGTGTGTTGCCAGCGGTGAATTCGTCCGTTTTAAGCCCTGACTAGCGACTTTCAACTGCTTTTTATTGACGTCAAGGGTCAAATTGTTAAAACGCATTTGAAATTTCTGGAGGTACCTTTTATCAATATCCAGACAGATATATTTAACAAATAGATTCCATGTTGCCGTGCGTCTGTTCAGTAATAGATCACAGATGACGTCAAAATGTCGTAAAAACAAAGAAGTGGCACACGAGCCGCAGGCGAGTGTGTCACTGTTGTTTTTACCACATTTTGACGTCCTCTGTGATCTATTACTGAACAGACCCACGGCAACATGGAATCTATTTCTTTTATACAATGATCAGAAAAGAAAAAGACCGATACACATACCTGCCTCGAACCGCTTGACCTTTTGAGGATTTGTGCTAGTTTAGGCATTTTTTAAGTCCCAAACCCAACTTTTCATCTTAGCTTCTTCTTTATCTTACTTGTGTACAGTTTCTTCGAAAAGTTTTTCACCGTCTTTTCTTGCTCAAAGAAAAATAATAGCGAAAACATTTTGCAAAACAGCGAGTCTTTCGTAGCGAAGACACACGATGGCAACTGTTGTGAAGATTTCTTGTAGTTTAGGCATTGTCAAGTAGTCAATAGCTTTTCTGGTCTCCGTTTCTTCATTTTTCTTCTTTGTAAATAGCTCCTGCTAAACTTTTTCCGAAGCCTTCACTTGCCTCAATCCGAAATAATCTCACAAACATTTTCAAAACCGCGTGCCATGTTGAACAAAACAAAGAAAACAAGTTTCCCGTGACGTCATCCATGTATCTGTACTCTAATAGATCATGGGCAACGACCAATCACAGCGCGTGTAGCATTCACATCATTGTATAAATATATTTATATATACACCCGTTTTCAAAAAGCTTTTCATATAGAGAGATATATAGATAGATATATAGTTTTGTTTTGTTGCACGTGCGCCCGTGAAAAAAATCGGTTCAACAATAAATTCTCTTTTCGTCAGGTTCTTTGTTCCAATTTGTCAATAAAAAAGAGAATGCACGAACATTGTTTGCAATTCTCTTGATTTGCATTCTGTTGAAAATTGAAGAATGCGGAATTCGGTAAGTTGTAGGTCATATAATTGTTGTAGTTACAGGATAAGGAGAAAATCATTAAAGGTTTTCATTTTTATAACAACGCAGATGAAATGAAAAAAAAAAATTGTTTTCGAAAGCGCTGATATTTTTTTTTTCCTGAGAAGGAAGATGTGACGGTGGATGTCGATGTTGGATGAGCTCCAACATGGCGGACGGAAACCAACAGAAACATCTGTTACCGAGTTTTGCTACAAAAGCGTGAATTTACTCCTAGAGAAACTCAGAAACATTAAAGTAATACTTTTTCTAATACTTGAACTGTTTAGACAGCAAAATTCCTCGAAAAAAGTCACTTTTTTAACCTAAATGACAGCTCTCTCGGCCGTCATGTAAATGCTGTGTCACGCAAAAGCTTAGAAATTCAAGCGTACTCTATTACAAAACCAAGAACCCTTTTGAAGCGAAAATTTGTTTGAAAATTAGTTTTCAGCTGCTATAATACACCATGAAATAAAATCTCAGTAGGATCGATAGTTTTGTAGTTTGAATTTTAGTGACGTAATGTGAAAACCAACAATTGGATACGTGGGAAGGAGCAAAAGTATCATACCAATTGATTAAAACGGACCAAGACGTTGACTAGGTTGATAGATGTAGATTTTATCATAACGATGATGAGCAGGTCATATATATTGATGTCTCACCCTTTTTCGTGTAAACTCACGGCCTGTAAGGCAACGTCTCACTGAAGACAGAATAAACTCTCGGCCACAAATGTTTTCAAGTTAGTTTAACAGTTTCTCTTATAAGTACGCCCCTGGACAGCGCATTTTTTAATACACCCCGTCAATAAATATGCTTCGCCACTTGCTTCAGATGCCATGACATTTGGCCTAATATAAAGATTTAGCCAGGGCTAAAAGCGAAGCTCCCATTAATAAATTTATAATTTAAATCAAACAATAAATTTGTATTCCACAATTCAGTTAACTTTAGAGCACATTCATGTGACTTTTCAGGGAAAGGCTAAGTGATTTTAGAGAAAAACAATTTGCAGACAACCCCAGAGTGAACCAAATCTTACATCGAGTTGATAGCCTCATATGTACACCCAAAAACTGGCAATCGTCTTCGATCACATTTATTAAGAGCTATAATGGCTCTTGATCACCGTAGGTTAATTAGACCTGGAAAAAAATTCCGACCGAATTTTTTGTGTTCGACAAGTTTACTTTACAAAATCTTGCCAACAAATCTGGGTGCGTGTAAACCAACCTTATATATCATTTACACATCACATCTGAGGTGAAACAGTACTATGAGGCACTGTTTTTATCACACAGACCTCGGACAACAGAATGCAGTATCTGACAATTTTGCAATACAAATTGCTATCATTCAATATTCAGGACGATCGAAGCACGCGTGGGCTTTAGCTAAACCGTTAAAAAAAAATTCCAAAATCACCTATACGGCCAGCCGGTTCTGACTTTTGCAGTGCTAGCTGTGGTGAGTGTTTGAATGAACATTAAGACAGTTACGCCCCAACATAATAAAGAATTTATTACGTTTATTTTTTATTTTAAAATGGTTTAACGCGCGTCATTTTGAGTTCTCTGGGAAGCGTTGTTCATTGAACGACTGAAAACAATCGGCACAGGGATTAAAACTACAAGGGAGACTACTAATAATCTATAAAAGAAATGTAATTCGGTGAAACGTATACCGAGACGACAATTTTCATTCAGAAAGACTAGTATTAAAGTGTCTCTAAAAATCCTGCGTCTTCGAGCTTAAAGCTGAAGTTTATGTTTTAAGCCGGCTTCCCGGTGTTTGCTTTTTTCAAAGACGAACTCGAGGCAAGAAAATCGCCCAAAGCTTCTTTTACAGCCAGAATTATAACTAAATATTCGTTGGAACGTGTTCTTTCTATTTGCAGTGAGAAAATGTCTAAGGGCTTTTTAAAGTTCTGTAAGCTTATAACAAACCTGATACTCGGTCAGATCATTGTCTCAAATCTAACAAACGTGCGTAAACAAAATAGCCGCATAAACTACGCTCGACTTCATTAAATTAGAAATAAAAAAAACAAACATCAAATACAATAATTAATCAGGCTTACCACTTGAGATGCAGCTCCTGAAAGGTATCGCTTCAGACTTTGCAACCCTCTTACGCATTAAGAAAGGTGAAAACGAAAACGATGCCATTCGAAATCGGATTTCCGACTTTGACAAGTGACGTACTTCTCAACCAAAAAATCAATAAACAAACTAGCCATGAATAACAGAGGACTCCCGATAGCAGCTGAATTTCATTTTGTACATCCAGTGGAAAAAGACAGTTAAAAACATCACAAGTTGACACAAAACTCTGTCAGCTTCAGCTGTCGAAGTAAACAAGATTCAAGATGCTGCATAAT